CCCCTACGGCTGAAAGAGCGAGCATGTTTGGTGTGACGGGGATTCGAACCCGCGACCCTCACTCACAGACCGAAGGAAGTGTTAGAATAACCTAATCAAAAACACCTTCGGTGTGAAAAAAATGGTGTATCCCTAAAAAAATAAATACAAAATAAAGGATTGATCGTATGACTTAAAGGAATGAAATCAAAATTGACGGTCAAACTGTAGCTACACTTATAGTATTGATAAGAATTATACAGCAAATATTCATTCAGTAGTTAGCTTAAATGAATGGAATAAAAATTGGCGGCCAAATTGGTAGTTACTCTTATAGTTTGATACAAATTTTACAAGATATATTCATCCATTTGTTAGTTAGGCTGTGTATTTTATTTTACCCAACATCGTTCCCCAAGACTAACAAAAAACGCGGTCTAGCTAACTAATGAATGAATATTTGCTGTAAAATTTTTGTCAACTTTTTGATTTATGTTTTTATTTTTATTTTAGTGTTTGTTAATATAGACAATGCGCTCAAATGTATAGAAAACACGATACACCCAATAATCAACAATCTAACAGTATTAACTTCCTCTAAATGTTGTCACCAAGAGCCTTGTTTTCTTACAGGTATTTGTTTTTTATTTTGCTATTTCTTTCTACAGATAATCACACAGAAATTTCGTAACAAGTGTCACAAAAATAAGTAAAAAAAAAAAAGATTCAGCGCAGTTGCTATTATGAATAGAAAACACTCTATATAAAAGCATAAGTGTGTGTTAAATATTTCCATTAACATTTTTAAAAGCAGTGCCAAGAACAACATAATTGATATTTGGCTTAAAACATGATAACTATATACCTGAAGTTGTCGCCTGTGGCGAGTATAAGAGTTGTGAGTATCATTCCGCCATGGGTCTGTGTGATTATCTGTAGAAAGAAAGAAATAGCAAAATAAAAAACAAATACCTGAAGTTGTCGCCTGTGGCGAGTATAATAGTTGTGAGTATCATTCCGCCATGGGTCTGTGTGATTATCTATAGAAAGAAATAGCAAATAAAAAACAAATACCTGAAGTTGTCGCCTGTGGCGAGTATAAGAGTTGTGAGTATCATTCCGCCATGGGTCTGTTCCAGTTGACAAGGAAATTTGGCATACGCTCCAACATGGGGTGTTTTCACGTCTTTTAACTATTGCACATCTCAGAAATCAATGCAACGATAGTACTCTAGCAATAACTCAGATCATAAAACATTCAAACGAAATTTTCTAGTTTCATGAATTCAGGAAATAGCTACAAAATATCCAAAGATCTGTCTTTCAGAATATTCAAGCAAAACACACACAGTTTCTTATTCTTAAGCATAAAATTATACAATGGCTATCTGTGCTGTGTCCACAACGGGTATCAAAACCCGGTTTTTAGCCTTATAAGCCTTTAGACTAACTGCTGAGCCACTGGGGACGAACATACACACAGTATTTCTTATAATTCGTACATATTGGCCGGGGTTTCATCGTTTAAAAGTGATTTTTATAATTGAAGTTACATATCCGTGTTAAACAATTAATATAACTACATGACACAAGGATATTGGATTAAGGAAATGCATTCAAGACCTTGAACAGAGGGGACAAGGGTGGATCTATCTTCCCCGGCATCATTAACTTAACAATGTCCTGTCTTTTCATACTGTTGGCGGATAATCAGTTAAGCAAGCAGAGACTGCCAGAAATGTTTTTTTTTTGTCACGAATGTGTGCGTCACAGAGAATCACAAGATCAAACTAGTTTACCTATTTCGCAGAAAGCCAAGGAATTTGATTAGAATCGCTGAATATAGGCCAAGTCTTGTCCTCGATCACGAAATAATGAATAAAACATGTTCTTGAAAAGTGGCCTTCCGATGGCTCAGCAGTAAGCTTTACGGAACATAATGGTACAATTTAGGACCCGATTCCTGCCGTGGGCACAGCATAGATAGCTTATGGCGCAGCTTTGTTCTTAACAACAATAAAAATCTTCACAAGTCTGATAACAATGAACATTATTGTACATATTTTTGTTTTGTTTTTATTCTATGTTTATAAACTACAGAAGCTGGTTTTAGAAGAAAATACTGCGTTTTGATGATCTAAGTCAAATATTTGGACATGTAGTTCTAAGCGCTTTATTCAAAATGAACAAAAAGTAAGCAACCCATGTTTTGGGGAAGGACTTAAATATAGCACATTGAAAGCATTATAGTGTTATCGAAACATGCCTCTACATTTATTTTTTGTATAAATTCTAAATACTCTAAATTATTTTACAAAATCAGAACAATAAATCTTTAAAAAGTAATTATTAAACCAATATTAAATACATTTGTTTGTTTGTTTGATAAATATTACGGATAATTTTGATAAAATCACTCAGACTTTGATACATTCTGGAAACGTGTGTTTGGATTTGTTAACATAAATATGTTAAGATTGTTTGTTTGTTTTTGGAATTTCGCGCAAAGCTACACGAGGGTTATCTGCGCTAGC